TAACTCCCTGTAAATGAAGCTCTGGCATGAATGACACCAAAAGCTCATTTTTCTTCTTCCTCCTGGTGGGCAGGGTGAAAGGCAACATGTGCTCTCACAGATGGAAATCGCTGCCTCCCGAAATAACAGGCGGCTTAAACGCCCGACCAAACACTCACCGAGTGCTTTGAGCACCCATTTCAACGGATAATTATTTCCATCAGTGCCTCTTCAAAAGAGGAGTTAAGGAGAATAAAGCAAAAAGAATAGATGTGTTTTTTTAAACCAACAAACCAGCAAAGCAACAGGAACAAAGAGCATTTTTAAAAGCAGCTTTGCTCTGTCTCAAGTTTTTAGGTGCGCGAGTGGGTTCCCTACAGGCATGAACCCAACTCCCCTGAAGACCCCACAGGTCCCTGGTGTTCTTTGTAGAATTGTTGGGGTTGGAAGAGACCTTAAAGATCAAATTCTAGTCCTGTTTCTGCCAGGTTTGTGACACTTTGCTTTTTATTCTTAACTGTCAAACAGCATCTTTCCCCTCCTCCTCCAAACCCCCGCAGCAGGCGTTAGGATTCAGTTTGATTTCTGACCATTGAGGCCAAATTCAGCAGATATTTCTTGCCCAAGAACGTTTCCTGCGTCGTATCAGATTGTCACAAACATTAAGTTCCAAATTTTCTCCAGACCAGCCCCAGGAGGCAACTTTTCTCACCAAATCCATATTCATCACCCACTTCTTCCATCCCTTACGGCTCCCGCTACGTCCCAGGGGGGAGAGAAGAAACGGGTGCGAAGGCAAGTCCTGTCCTGAAGAGAACAGATCAGGAAGAACATGATTCCTCTTTCTTGTCCATCAGGTAATTAAATTTATGTTACCCTCAGTTTTATTTCCTTGTTTTCAGAAGCTGAAATGGCAGAGGAGAGAAGCTGACGTCAGGAAGAGCGCAAGTTAGCACTGGAAAGCCACAATTTAGCTGTCTTTTGGAGGAATATTTCATTAAATAATCTGGCAGGAGCGTCAAAACCACTGATATTTAGAGCTGTTGCCAATTTTAGGGTGATGAAAGATACTGGGAGCTCTACCCAGAGAGAGAAAATAAGTAAACATCCAGCAGAAGATCGTTATCTTTTGAGGCAACTCTTGAAGATGAACATTTTATCCCCCAAAACTCTTTGGAAACACCAAAAACTCATTCAAAAGAGGCCAAAGGAACTCGCTGAGCACCTGAAACATCAGGGAATTAAGATTTTTCCAGCTCAGAGTGAACTTTCATCCAGGAGGAAAGGGTGGAAAGGTACAATAAGTGACCCCAAATCCACGGAGAGACTTTGTGAGAAGGAAAAAGAAAGAAAACACAACATTAGGACAAGGGATTAAAATAACGAGCGCATTTGTGAGAATCTGCCCCAGGGAAAATAGTTTAGAAAATTAAAAACTCCACAGTAAGAGACTGAAAGCTGTTAACCGACATCTAATTAATCACCAACTCCAATCCCCACAACAAAACATTAAAAGGAATTACAGGCAGGGAAAAAAACCTATATTTTAAATATTCCTGCAGCAACCGAGCCTTAACCAGACCAACAGAAGAATAATAAAAAAAAAAGTAATAAAAAAAGGACCATAGTGATGATACCTGAAGAGAAAATTAAACAACTTTTGACAAAACTATCAGATTTTCACTAATAGCCAAAAACAAGGTTATGGTGTATATTAACAGGTTTTAATACGAGGTCCCACAGAGTGGCCACGTTTCCTGTCCCTGGGCTTTCACCATCCAAAGTCCTGCTAATTTGAACTGTGAGGAATCAGACATTTAGAGAACAGCACTTTTTAAACAGTCACTAAGAGTCTCTCATCTTACTTTCCTTATAATAATATTAGATACCTGTCTTAAATCTCATTTGCTCATCAATAAGTTTGGTTTTTGATACTCAGACCTCTCCTTACAGCAAAGCGTTCACTTGGACATGGTTCTTTGGGGTGAGTTTGAGGCCCTTTTGGTTCTTCCCCACACTTATAAACTTAAAAGCATATAATCAGAGAGAAAACTGCAAAGAGGGGGAAAGGAGGGGGAAAGGAGGGAAAGAGGGATGGGAGGAACAGAAAGGTGGGGAAAAGGGGAGGAAAAGGGTCAGGGGAAAAGGAGAAAAGAAAAACAAGAAAAGATACGAATAAGAAAAACAAGAAAGGCAAACAAAAAAGTAAAAAAGAAAAAAACCAAACCAACAAAAAAGATAAAACAACAAAAAACCCATCCAAGTCCTCGCTGGTGATTATATTCTTTATCCAGCGCTTATTTACCAGCTTTGTTGAGAATTAACTCCCTGTAAATGAAGCTCTGGCATGAATGACACCAAAAGCTCATTTTTCCTCTTCCTCCTGGTGGGCAGGGTGAAAGGGAACATGTGCTCTCACAGATGGAAATCGCTGCCTCCCGAAATAACAGGCGGCTTAAACGCCCGACCAAACACTCACCGAGTGCTTTGAGCACCCATTTCAACGGATAATTATTTCCATCAGTGCCTCTTCAAAAGAGGAGTTAAGGAGAATAAAGCAAAAAGAATAGATGTGTTTTTTTAAACCAACAAACCAGCAAAGCAACAGGAACAAAGAGCATTTTTAAAAGCAGCTTTGCTCTGTCTCAAGTTTTTAGGTGCGCGAGTGGGTTCCCTACAGGCATGAACCCAACTCCCCTGAAGACCCCACAGGTCCCTGGTGTTCTTTGTAGAATTGTTGGGGTTGGAAGAGACCTTAAAGATCAAATTCTAGTCCTGTTTCTGCCAGGTTTGTGACACTTTGCTTTTTATTCTTAACTGTCAAACAGCATCTTTCCCCTCCTCCTCCAAACCCCCGCAGCAGGCGTTAGGATTCAGTTTGATTTCTGACCATTGAGGCCAAATTCAGCAGATATTTCTTGCCCAAGAACGTTTCCTGCGTCGTATCAGATTGTCACAAACATTAAGTTCCAAATTTTCTCCAGACCAGCCCCAGGAGGCAACTTTTCTCACCAAATCCATATTCATCACCCACTTCTTCCATCCCTTACGGCTCCCGCTACGTCCCAGGGGGGAGAGAAGAAACGGGTGCGAAGGCAAGTCCTGTCCTGAAGAGAACAGATCAGGAAGAACATGATTCCTCTTTCTCGTCCAGCAGGTAATTAAATTTGTGTTACCCTCAGTTTTATTTCCTTGTTTTCAGAAGCTGAAATGGCAGAGGAGAGAAGCTGACGTCAGGAAGAGCGCAAGTTAGCACTGGAAAGCCACAATTTAGCTGTCTTTTGGAGGAATATTTCATTAAATAATCTGGCAGGAGCGTCAAAACCACTGATATTTAGAGCTGTTGCCAATTTTAGGGTGATGAAAGATACTGGGAGCTCTACCCAGAGAGAGAAAATAAGTAAACATCCAGCAGAAGATCGTTATCTTTTGAGGCAACTCTTGAAGATGAACATTTTATCCCCCAAAACTCTTTGGAAACACCAAAAACTCATTCAAAAGAGGCCAAAGGAACTCGCTGAGCACCTGAAACATCAGGGAATTAAGATTTTTCCAGCTCAGAGTGAACTTTCATCCAGGAGGAAAGGGTGGAAAGGTACAATAAGTGACCACAATCCACGGGGAAAAAGAAAGAAAACACAACATTAGGACACCAAATCCACGGAGAGACTTTGTGAGAAGGAAAAAGAAAGAAAACACAACATTAGGACAAGGGATTAAAATAACGAGCGCATTTGTGAGAATCTGCCCCAGGGAAAATAGTTTAGAAAATTAAAAACTCCACAGTAAGAGACTGAAAGCTGTTAACCGACATCTAATTAATCACCAACTCCAATCCCCACAACAAAACATTAAAAGGAATTACAGGCAGGGCAAAAAAAATAAATTAAATATTCATGCAGCAACCAAGCCTTAACCAGACCAACAGAAGAATAATAAAAAAAAAAGTAATAAAAAAAGGACCACAGTGATGATACCTGAAGAGAAAATTAAACAACTTTTGACAAAACTATCAGATTTTCACTAATAGCCAAAAACAAGGTTATGGTGTATATTAACAGGTTTTAATACGAGGTCCCACAGAGTGGCCACGTTTCCTGTCCCTGGGCTTTCACCATCCAAAGTCCTGCTAATTTGAACTGTGAGGAATCAGACATTTAGAGAACAGCACTTTTTAAACAGTCACTAAGAGTCTCTCATCTTACTTTCCTTAGAATATTATTAGATACCTGTCTTAAATCTCATTTGCCCATCAATAAGTTTGGTTTTTGATACTCAGACCTCTCCTTACAGCAAAGCGTTCGCTTGGACATGGTTCTTTGGGGTGAGTTTGAGGCCCTTTTGGTTCTTCCCCACACTTATAAACTTAAAAGCATATAATCAGAGAGAAAACTGCAAAGAGGGGGAAAGGAGGGGGAAAGGAGGGGGAAAGGAGTCAACGTGCTAGAAAGACTAAAATAGCCCCAACAGCCAACAGACCAACCTCCCTCGAGTTTCACCGACGCAACGGGATCTACTGGTGCAGGCTGGAGAGCTGAGGAGTCAGATGGTCAGAGGAGAGCAGAAGAAAACAGAATTTAAGGCTGCTGGACTGTCTGGAACAAGTCACCTGGAAATGTTAAAAGCAAAGATGAAATAAAAGGCAAAACAGTGCAAATGGAGAGATTTCTTTTTATTAAATGGAAGGCTGCAAGGCCTGAATCTTGAAAGGCTCTTCAGAGTACAGGAAGTTGGGCAAAAAAACCCCAAAACCAATCAAAAAAGGACTCGATGATCCCAAACCTCTACTCTTTATTTAATGTATAAAAGAAGCTTTGCAAAAAAATCCCAGATGGACTCAACTGACACCTATGGAAACTGATTTTGCACATCCTCCTATGTTGTGTGTCAAAATCTATTCGGAAGCGACGCCGAGTCGAGATTTCAGCTCGGATTTCAACGTCCCAGAGCAAAAGACCAAGAAAAAAATCAAATAAAAAAATCAACCACCTCCCAAACATAAAAAAAGAGGGAATCTAGGATTACACAGCACTCACCGGGATCTCTTTATTGAGAAAGTTCAAAGTTCATTCAGGGCTTTTTGCTCATTAAATTGTCATTTTAACACCGACGAGGAAGTATTTTAGATTAGTTGTTAGGACACAATCAGATACAGGTTCATGGAAGAGAAAGATGACTGCTTTTCTTATCAAAACAGTTTTGATTGCTTGCAGAGTGGATATTTATCATGATAATTCTATTCTGGAACTTACTACACAAGCAACCTTCTATATTCAACCTTCTAGGTTGAAAGCAACCTTCTAGAATAAAACCCGTGACGACTACGACCTGTATTTTCAACACAAAAGTCAACATTTTCACTTAAAACCCCCACACTGCTCCCCAGTTTCATTCTAATGGATAAAAAATGGGTGGGATGATGAAGTATGAAAACCATATGGCTAACAGAACCACCCATCACCATCAGTCTGGAAATGTTTAAACCACCTCGGATCTTCCTGTTCAAACGATGCATGAAACTCCAAAACATACAATTAGGATAAGAAGAAAACAAAATAAAAGAAGAAAAGGAAATCTGGAAATTGGTTTGAGGGATTAGAAAAAAAAACAGCACTCAAATGTTTCCTTTGAGTAGCTCCAGAGTCTTAAACACAGCCTCCAACTCATAAACACAAAAGGAACATTATTAATTTTCAAGTGCTGACCCCAAAATGTGATTAAAACCGCCTGTGACCACAGGTGTGCCAATCCCAGAGCTTGGTTTGCATTTGTAATTTACCAAAAGATAGTAGTTCCTCTCAAGTTTTCAAAACAAAACTCCAAATCCTTCCAGGCCATTTGATATTGCCACTCCTAATTTTGGAGAGACATCTGAAAAAAACACTTAGTCCTCACTACTGCCTTCTAGAAATTAAGAAAGTGGGATAGGAACGTCCACACGTAGAATCTCTTTGAGGACAACAAAATGTCTCTGCAGCTCCAAATGCTTCCAACCTTCTCCATCTTGGGTGAGAAGAACGTGGAAAGCTCGTTAGCAGATGACGTAGCGGACAAGTCTTGAGCCCCGAATTTCTCTCACTCTCTGGCAGTGGCGCAGGATATTGAGGATACTATGGAAGCGCTTATCCATTTTCAGTTGAGTGAACTCTTTGATATCGGCCTCCACGATAAAAAATTGACCTGGAAAACGAAGAATGACTTGGCCGTTACGGTGTAGGATACACTCAACATTTCAAAAGTAAAGAGACAACCTCTTCGGAACCTCACAGTGATAAAAAAAAATAATACAAATTGCACCATCTCAGAATCTTCGTCCTATTTCCTAAATTTGTCACCAGAAAGAAGAACTGCCAACCTTCTCATGAAGTTCAACCATCCTGCATCGTCCACAAGCCCCATTCAGTGAGCTCCAGCTGTTGCATCCGAGCTGGGAGCCCATCACTTCTTCTTGTTAATTAACTACTTCTAAAAGGAAATTCTCATTATCAAGCCCTTGCAAGAAACTAAGGCCTTCACTGGAGTTAAAGCGTTTCAAATGCCTCCAACAGAAGACAAGTAAGAGAATCATAGAATTGTTGAGGTTGGCAGGGACCTTTCAGATCACCAAGTCCAACCATCAACCTAATGTTGACAAAACCCATCACTAAACCATGTCACTAAGCACTATGTCAACCTGTCTTCTAAATACCTCCAGGGATGGTGCCTCAACCACCTCCCTGGGCAGCCTCTTCCAAGGCTTGACAACCCTTTCAGTGTAAACATTTTTCCCAATATCCATCCTAAATCTCCCCTGGTGCAACTTGAGGCCATTTCCTCTTGTCCCATCACCCGTTTTGGAGAGATGAGACCGGTTCCCCCTGGCTACACCCTCCTTTCAGGGAGTTGGAGAGAGCGAGAAGGTCTCCCCTCAGCCTCCTTTTCTCCAGGCTGAACACCCCCAGCTCCCTCACAAGACTTGTGCTCCAGACCCATCACCAGTCTCCACAAACAGGTAGACACGAGGAAGGAAGGAGATATTTTAAGCACTCTATAGCTATTTTCACTAGCTGTTATTTCATATTCAGCCTTTACACGCCGCTCAGATAGGAGGTAATTACAGATCTAGTAAAAAAACTGTACATTTAATACTTCTCATAACACGACAGAAGGTTTTAACCACGTATTTTCACAAAACCGTAAGAATGAAAAGCAACCCTGAAACCAGGAACACGCTAATTAAGGTGTAAGAAAGAAATATCCAATTATCTTTAAGAAGAGTAAGTAGAAGGAAAGAACATTATTCTTCTGTAGTATCATGTTCTGGAGACTTATAAGAAATCAAAAGGTTGGGGGTAATTCTAGCTTGGAAAGAAGAGGACAGGATTCTCCTTCCTTCTTTTATCCTTCAAGTAAGACAGAGGCAGCATCACCTCAGATAAGATGGAAATCTGATATAGAAGAAGATACAGAAGAAGATACAGAAGAAGATACAGAAGAAGATACAGAAGAAGATACAGAAGAAGATACAGAAGAAGATACAGAAGAAGATACAGAAGAAGATACAGAAGAAGATACAGAAGGACACGAGGAAGGAAGGAGATATTCTAAGCACTCTATAGCTATTTTCACTAGCTGTTATTTCATATTCAGCCTTTACACGCCGCTCAGATAGGAGGTAATTACAGATCTAGTAAAAAAACTGTACATTTAATACTTCTCATAACACCACAGAAGGTTTTAACCATGTATTTTCACAAAACCATAAGAATGAAAAGCAACCCTGAAACCAGGAACACGCTAATTAAGGTGTAAGAAAGAAATATCCAATTATCTTTAAGAAGAGTAAGTAGAAGGAAAGAACATTATTCTTCTGTAGTATCATGTTCTGGAGACTTATAAGAAATCAAAAGGTTGGGGGTAATTCTAGCTTGGAAAGAAGAGGACAGGATTCTCCTTCCTTCTTTTATCCTTCAAGTAAGACAGAGGCAGCATCACCTCAGATAAGATGGAAATCTGATATAGAAGAAGATACAGAAGAAGATACAGAAGAAGATACAGAAGAAGATACAGAAGAAGATACAGAAGAAGATACAGAAGAAGATACAGAAGAAGATACAGAAGAAGATACAGAAGAAGATACAGAAGAAGATACAGAAATAGAAATTTAATTTCTATTAAATTATTGGAGAATCCTTGTGTTTTAACCAAGGAGAAAGAGCCGAAGAACAAGAGACCATGTTTTTCCACAGACTGGGCCATTTTGAGAGTTGGTGACACAGGTGTCTAAATGGGAAATAAAATCTTCCGGAGACAAGAACTATCAAAAACTGGAGGTCTTCCCCAAAATGGGAATTTCAGACTTTGCAATAATGCCAAATTTACATACAGATGAGAAGTGGAATGTTTATCTACTAGGAAAAGAAAAAAAACAAACTCTCATAGCAGGATATCGTTGATGGAAGAAACCAGAGGTTGGAAAGAGTAACTCCATGAGTTAAATAAGGAGCTGAATTAAAGAGAATCACCTTTCTGGCTGGGAAGTTACCCTGATAAACCAGGCAGTGTCTTATTTTTCATCTCAAAATCAGAGGAAGAGGGCAGCTGGCAATCAGCCCAGGCTGAGAAACTGTAGGAATCCTAAGAGGAGAGACGCTGGCGGCAGAAATTTGAGCAAACAAATCAATGCAAGCACAACCCTCATCCCAAAAAACTCAACGGGTAAAGACATTTAATCGTTTCGAGCCGACCAGATAAGAACCCCCCTGACAACCTGCCAGGGCTTTTTCTCTCCACTTTCTAGATGATTAGTCACAACAAACAAAACCAAAACAAACAAATAAAAAATCTATCACACACACACGCTCTCAGATACTGAATGTCCTATTTTTCTAACCCAACGTCCCAGTGCAAGCCAGAAAATAAAGACTGTCTCTCAAGTTCCCCCCCAAAAAATTAATAGACTTAATTTTTCAGACTTCAAAAAAAAAATATACTGCTTTCTGGCAGAAAATTACCTCTGATGAGTTAGAGCTTTCTCAAGTTGCTACAGGGACATTCCAGGCCTGAAAGGGCCCTTCTAGTGTTTAGTCTCTCCCTCCTCAATAGTCATGGGCTCCAACTCCTCACTATGGTCTTGAGGACAATAAGAGTTAAAGCAAAATGATATTGTAAATTAAAACTGATGAAGCAAGTATTTTAAGAACTCCCAGATTAATATGAGCCATTGTTAGACTGAAAAAAAACTTTTCTAGTAAAAAATATCCAAGCTCAAATCAGCAGCCACCCCGTGAAGCAGTCTAGCTTTGTTTTATTGAAGTCCTTTAATATAAAATCACAGAATCACGGAATGCTACGGGGTTGGAAGGGACCTCTGGAGATCATCTCCTCCAACCCCCAGCCAAAGCAGGGCCACCCAAAGCAGGTCACACTGGAACATCTCCAGGTGGGGTTTGAATGTCTCCAGAGAAGGAGACTCCACCACCTCTTTGGGCAGCCTCTGCCAGGGCTCTGCCACCCTCACACAAAAGAAGTTCCTCCTCATATTGAGATGGAACTTCTTATGGTCAAGTTTGTGTCCATTTCCTCTTGTCCTGTCCCTGGGCACCACTGAAAAAAGCCTGGCCCCATCCTCCTGACACCCACCCTTCAAGTATTTCTAGGCCTTGATCAGATCCCCCCTCAGTCTTCTCTTCTCCAAAAGACTCAAAAGACCCAAGAAGTCCCTCAGCCTTTCCTCAGCAGAGAGATGCTCCAGGCCCCTCAGCATCTTTGTAGCCCTCTGCTGTCCCCTCTCCAGCAGTTCCCTGTCCTTCTGGAACTGGGGAGCCCAGAACTGGACCCACTGCTCCAGATGGGGCCTCCCCCAGGGCAGAGGGGCAGCATGACCTCCTTCCACCTGCTGGTCATACTCTTCTTCATGCTCCCCAGGATGCCATTGGCCTTCTTGGCCACAAGGGCCCATTGCTGTGTCATGGTCACCCTGTTGTCCACCAGGACTCCCAGGTCTTGTTCCTCAGAGCTGCTCTCCAGCAGGTCACCCCCAACCTGTCCTGGTGCAGGGGGTTATTCCTCCTTAGGTGCAGCACCCTGCACTTGCCTTGATTGAAGTTCATCAGGTTCCTCTCTGCCCAACACTCCAACCTGTCCAGGTCTCGCTGTGTGGCACCACAGCCTTCTGGTGTGTCAGCCACCCCTCCCAGTTTTGTGTCATCATCAAAGTCCTTTACAACCCTGACTTTCACGACACGTTTATCCTACAGGTCTCAAAATAAAAAGAATGCCAGGTGTGTCCATCACATCAGAATTCCTTCCCTACAGAAGAGATGCATTTAGAATCTAGAAGTTCGCGATGTTATCACCATACCACAAATATTGAGTGTCTTGATCGGCAACAAACCCAAAGGAATGAAGAAAAAGTCCTATTTTGTTATAAGGTGACCCTCTGCTTATGGCAGAATGTCCTTGCTTTCTGTCCAGGGGAAATATTCAGGTGCCAAGACGTTGTCAGAAGAAGAGCTCTCTCCCTGCCAGACAGAAGAACCTTTGCTCCCCGCTTTACGTCTGCGCTTGGAAACACGAGGGCATCCTGAGGACATCACCAAACCGGATACGTGCAGAACACCCCTCCAGGAATAATTACATACTTGTTCTCAAAAGGAAAGGAATGTCAAAAAGGAGATTTTTTTTCATATTAGAGATTTGCTGTGCCACATATCTTTGGAAAAAAAAATAAAATAACCTGCAAGTACAACTTGCTTTTAAATTGAGAAAAATGACATTTCGGTGCGTTTTCGCTCCCTCTGTGCTTTGAAGAGGAGAAAACTTCTTAAGATAATCAGACAGCCCTGTCTCTTCCACAAAGCCACTGCAGCATGACTGATTACCCAGATCTCCCAGCTCCAGAACAAATTTTTAATGGTTCGTGTCCATTCTAGCTTAAAAAAACCTGAAAACCAACATGCATAAATCGCTTTACCAAACTAGAAGTTTCCAAAACTGGAAAAAAGTGTGGGGGCTCTACAAGTTTTTGCTACAACAGGACATGAAAGCTACAGGTTTTCAGTGAAAATATATAAAAAGTAACCAAATGAGTTATAGGAAAACTCTTCAGTCAAAACAATAAGCCTTGGTGTTAAACTATGGGAGTTTATTCAGAGGAGGTGGCTGGGTTTTATACTGACTCCACTCTTCTGTAGAGTAAT